CCCCTTAGCTCACAAAACCCCTTCTGGTCCATTGGCTTGAGTCCTAACTCCCAAGCGGCTATAGCTTGTATTGTTTATTATTTGGGCCGCCATTTGGATCAGTATCTCGAGTTTTATACGTACTATTTTGGACCTAACGCACCCGGTAATAAAGCTACTATTTTCCTTCACCCATTCTGTACATCTATACCCAATTTAGGGTGAACCCGATTTCGGCAAAACCATCAAGTATATTAAAAATGTACCTTTTCATGATTTACACAACTATTTTAACCATGGTTCATGGAATGATGATTAATATTACTCCATCAAACATATTTTAAATTTTTTATTGATAACTTTAAAAAATATATATATGGAATTTAACGTACCCAGCCATGCCATCTCTATATAGGTTGTAGCTAAGATATGACACTTACAATTACAAAGCACTTGGTTGCAAAGAGAAAATTAGGGGATTGAGAATTGTAATTTCTCAAGATAGAAATAATGCAAAAATAAAGTAGGAAACCAAAATTTATTTTTTGGGTGGGAACATAATTATTATATGAAACTTATATTGAGTAAAATCAGCAGAGGTCATGCGAGTTTGGTGATTTCGTCACCTTTAGTCCTAAGCTTTAAAATCAATCTTCTGTGATCCTTCGAGTTTTGAATTCGACCTGTCGTAGTCCTTTCATTAAGATATTTCATCTTACTCGTGAAAAGTAAGGGCAAAATAGTCTTTTTATTGCAACCCTAGCCAAAACAATTCATTTCCCTCATAAATTAGCCCTAATCCACCGAAAAAAGTTGTAATTGAACGAATTTCTGAGGGAAAAATTGCAATTGAACGAAAAAAATTGAAATTGAAAACAATTAGGGCTAATTTATGAGGGAAATGAATTGTTTTGGCTGGGGTTGGAATAAAAATATTGTATTGCCCTTACTTTTCATGACTCAAATGGAATATCTTAACGGAAAGACTACGACAAGTCGAATTCGAAACTCAGGGGATCACGGATGGTCGATTTGAAAGTTTAGGACTAAAGGTGACGAAACCACCAAACTCATAGGACCTTGGCTGATATTTACTCAATTTATATTCTAATGTTTTGTTTATACGCAGGAACGGGCTAGGAATTCCGTTGAGGGGGGTGAAGAAGAAGGGACGGGTCCAGAAATTTTTTCCAGTGAAAGCGAAACGTTAAAACAAAAGAGATAACTTGAAAAAAAAATTTAAGAAATATCTGTATAAATATTGTTGGATATGAGCAAAAAATAAAACCCATCGAAACTTTATAAAAATACTAGTATTTTATATGCGCGATGCGCAAAAAATATATGTCCAATATTAAAATCTTAGTTATATTAATTTTTTAAAAATAATAGTGTGTGTGTGTGTGTATATATATATAATTGTATAATTCATATTAATATTATTGAGGTAAGAATTATAGAAATGATAATTTACTAAATATAACTATGGTAACATTTTAATTAAAACCTAAAAATGAATTCAAACTTACCATTGAAGGATGTAAGAAAAAATATTGTGTATGCATGTACATGGTAATAATAATGTGGAAAGATAACAGAAGTTATAACGGCAGAGATATTTTTGTCCAAAAAATTATGTAGTACAGCTTTTATAGCACAAGGTACAAAAAAAATTAATGGAAAACATGGACATAAACCAGGGGTATAACCTGGATTGAAGCTTATTATGTTTTTAGATTCATAACAAAATATGAAATATAATAATTTGAATAAAAAACAGTACACATCTCATTATTAATATAAAAGAATGTTATATGTGTGTGTATTAAATATTTTTTTTTAAAAAAAAAAACTATTAAAAATGTAATTGTGTTGAAGCCAAAAAAAATTGTGAAAATGTGTTAATGTCAAGATTTGAAACTCATGACCTTCATTATAACCAAACACAAGCTTTGCCAACAAATCTAACTCACTTCTTTTTAACATTTATCTATTTTTTATACTAATACTAAAACTTGTACTATGTATACATATATACATACAAAAGTTATATATGGAGTGGGGGTGGGATGAGGGGGGCAGCTGCCCCCCTTTGGCTCCGTTCTTGTTTATACGATAATTAAAAATGAATAAGTAATACAAAGATTAATATGTCCATGAAAGTGTCATTTTTTTTTTTTTTTTGAAAACCAATCACGCCATTATTCGTTATCATGAAACAAAGCATCCACATTACAAAAAGAAGTGTCAAACCACTCCCTACAATCAAATGTAGAAATTAAACATCCTCCTTAAACCCTAGCAAGTGGTGACATGATTTGCTAATCATTAAACATGTTGGAAACTAACATTAAGCAAGACTTAACAATAGACTTTAATATCCTCATTGACTATCCAAAAGCCAAATTTATCTCCTTAGAGCATCCTTATCAGTAGAAATATTAGAGTGGAGAATGTAAGAGTGATTAGGAAAGAAAATGTGGAAGGGGAAAAAAAAAAACAAAATGACTTTTTAAAATGAAAAAAAATTAAAAAAATAAGTATATCAGGTGCGTCGAACGCAGCCGGGCGCGTGGCTGTGGACTTGCTGTGCGCGTCAGCAGGTCATATTTCTTTCTTCTTTTTTTTTCTTAATTTTTCCATTCTCCCCACCCCTTGCAGATGAATTCTTTTTGCATTATCTCCTCCCCACATCAACTATGCTCCTTTAATGGGAAGAATTCATTCTGAAAAAGCTCCAAAAAAAACACTATAGTGGATGCTCTTACACCCTTAATTACTAGCATAACAATATGCAAATCACATATCTCCACAACCGCCCTCTCAACTCTCAACCCTTTTAACTAATTCAAAGCTTCCCAAACACCCACCGCCCGACCAAACCCCATAACCCTTCTCATGTATAATTCCGTGTCCACATTCAATTTTAAAACGCCTCCTACTGGCCCCAGTTAGTGTTGCTGCCCAACCTAATTTCACTCAAAACCCTCCCAAACTCATTAGCCTGCCTCTCACTTGCCAAATACGTACTACCATTAACACCCTTCCTCCAAGCTCACAAAATGAAATTTTTTTATCGCGAGGCTATCTCAAATGGTTCCACCGATCACCCTAAAATCTTGCTCCATCAGCAATGTGGGGTTCGAATCTCAATGGAAACCTGCGGGTCATTGGGAGGCCTTGACTGATCAGAGATGATTAAGATCACTTATGCGCAAAGTGTACATGCAAGGGGTGGGAAATTCATGAGAATTGACGGGAAAACTAACGATTTACCTCTTGATCCAGTAGCTCTTAGGTAGGGGTTCTATCATTCTAGGGCTTAGGATTAATCTGAAGTAAGTTTGAAAACCTAATGTACCAAAACAAAAAAAAAAAAAAAAAATCCCTCCACCCTCTCCAAGATCAAAACACCAACAGCCCTCAAATTGCCCGATTTATCTTAAGAAGCTTTCGCAAACTGACACTCGGCAAACAAAGAGTTTACTATATAAACTCGCAAGCAAACTTTCGCTAATGTGGCAAGCAATGACAAGTTATTTTTATCTTATGGATTCCAAACAAAATATCTACTTTAAAATTTATCATGAAAAAATTAAAAGTTAAAAATAGAATTTGAATGTTCAAGTAATATTTTCAAATCTCAAACCCTTGTCTATCTCAACCAATCCTCCGTTCAAGTCAAGGAGGACATAGCATTATTGATGGATAATTTTTCACAACTTTTCTTCTAACCTTATAAAAGGGGGAATTAGAATTATTGCATAGGGGTAATTTAGTCTTTCTATTCGTGGGTATAACTGGCATGATCCACATATCTTAAGCTGACCCTTCATAAGTGAAATAGTTGGGAAGATTGGAAGAATGTATCATAAGTCACTAACTCATCATAACTTTTACTTTCACTTATGGATAAAAATAATAAAAATTATGAACTCCTTATATTAATTAAAAAGGAGGATATTGTTACTTTTTGTATTTTTTACTATAGTATTTATTTTATACTTTCTTAAATTATTACAATTCAAAGAATTAATATCCCACCACCAGAGTTCGATCTTGTGATCTTTTTCCAAGAGCAATCACAGAAGTGTTATCAGAGTATAAAGTGTTTGGCTAAGCAATCTAAGAATATTGCATTACAGAAAGTAAAAAATAAAATATAAAATATGAGTACATGAAAAGCCCAGTAGTTACCAGGACTATGTGGTCTAATGGTATCCGGGTTGGACTTCCATTTGGAAGGTTGTAAGTTCGAGCCTCAGTGGAGGCGTTATTAGCTCTCTGTGTTTCAGTAGGTTGAGAAAGTATATGAACAGATACTACAATGTAATAGAGCTAGTAGCATTCAAAAAAAAAAAAAAAAAAAAAGAAAAGCCCAGTAGTTGGTGGTTGCCAACCACGTGGCCAGAGACCATTGATGGGCCAGCTAACTTCCTTCGTGAAGGAAAGGATCAAAGATTACCCAATAAAGAAAGAAAAGAATAAATACGTGTACATTTTAGCTTATATATGGTTTTTCACAAAAATTCAGATTCACAAAAATTTGTCTTTTCATAATAGACAAATTTATTTCCCTATTATGAGTTGTTTAAAATTTTGTTTTCATATAAGAATAAATTTTGTTTAAAAAAAAAGAATAAATTTTAAATTATTTTTCAAGTAAAAATACTTTTAGTCACATTATTGTCTCATCACACATCTTTTCTACATTATCATTCTATCCCTTTCTCTATGTCTTAGCATGCTATCATGTCCGCAGATTTAATCACTGATTTAATAGACAGTATTTAGGAGAAGAGACTAATGTTCAAACTTCAAGATGTGAACTGTGAAGATTATATTTAAAGTAGACAAATTCCTTGTGCGCACTAACATTTGGCTATATCTACTAAGCCATTGTCGAGCAGAGTGTGAGAAGCCCTTGTGATTAGGGATTCAACCTTTGGGAAAAGCTTGCTATCATAACCACATTTACTATCTCACTATTTTATCATTGGTACATCTCACTATCAAAGTGCTGTTGATAATGTGGAGCAAATTTCTTTCATTTTTCAACATTAGCTACACACATCTACAGACAACAAATGAAAATGGCTTCATTTCAAATCTATGATTTACTATTCAAAAGATTCTTTCTTTTTTTTTTTGGGTAATCTACTCTATTCAAAAGATTGTTTTGCAACAGAGTTACTTTTTCTTTAGCCCCTTTCAAGCCTCCTTGTTGGCTGGTTCATTGTGCATACAAGTCAGAGAAGAAGGGATCAGAAGCTGCCTCTTTTGCTGAACCATAACTATTCAAACGCTTCTTCAAAGAGCGCAATTCCCTCTCGTCTTTAGTGCTTCGTGCCTGTGCCACAATGTTCATTGTCTGATAAGCATATCTACTTTCTTAATTTTTCCTTAAACCAACATTATCGTAAATGTGAACAATCCAGAAGTTAAAAGTAACTACAACCTGTTTTACTTCATTGCTGATTATATTGACACATAATGTTTGACAGAAGTCTAACAACTTTCGAACATGTGTATGAATGAATTTACTATAAAGAGAAATGGTCACAACATTGCTATGAATGAATTTAATGAAAGGGAAAATGGTCTTGATACAATAAATTTGCTGATTAACTCTCAAGCATAACGATTTTGCAAATGTGTAATATATCTAGGACATGGCTGTCAATGAATTTACTAAAATGGAAAAATGTTTTCGTATAATCGTATGTGAAGTGAAACTTACATATGATTTCTTCAGCAGCAATATGTCAACCAAGTATTGCAGCCATAACACATTAGTCTTCGGGAAACTGCATAGCAACAAAGAGAGCAGATCCAAAATAAATAACATAAGATTATCTATTTGAGGTCTTTAGTTATTCATCAACAAGGAATCAAGTACTGGTAGCTTTTGTTTCTTTCTCAAAGGCATATTATTTTTGGAGAGAGATAGTATATCAATTTTCATGAGAAACATGACATTTTTGCTGCATCCATACTGAAAAGTGAAAAATGATAATCAACCTGGGGGCTGGGGGGTGGGGGTAGTTTTGTGCTAAAGTGCCCAATTAATATATCAGGGACAATAATATTAGAAGTATGAAGCAAATTATAAGAATATGGCTAGGATAGCACGTTAAGAGATAAAGTACGATAAGATAAACATCACGATCAAACCAACTTAACAAGTAATGAGAGAAAAAAAGAGGTCGGATATTTTTATAGTGTTTCAGCAACCAACTAATCCACTACCTAAGGATTCCTTAGGATTTAGCAATCCACTATACTCCGGTCCTCTTTATCCTTGGTGGGCCAATATTGATGAACAACCCTCATCGATAAGCTTTAAACCGAGACTATCGCAATAGTCACAACAAGCTACGGACTATACAAGTCCAAATACAATCACCTTATACAACGGATTTTTTATTACGCAATGGTGTCTCTAAGCAGACTGATTGTATACAATTGAAATTCTAAGGTTGATTCTATGGATTTTAAAATGCATGCTCAAGACTCAAGTGATATTCTTGAAGGCTGTAAGATTAGAATAAGAGTACAGGGCTTTCAAGAATAACTCGAAGAAGGATAGGAAAGTTGCGCTAAAGAGATTTTTGATTGCTTGGATGATCAAAGTTTTCAAAAGATTACTATTCAAAGTGAGGGAAGACTCTATATGTGAGGGAGAAGTGATGAACGGATTGAAGAAAAAAACATATGTTGGAGGTCATTTAATGAGGAGAGAGATAGTCTAACATTCAGATTTTTCAAATAGGAAGTATGGACTAGTTCCATAGTAAGGTAGAGTAGACCTGTTGAAATTGACACCATTCTGCCAAGTGACTGGTTGAAGACAAGGTTAACGGGTTCAATAGACCTATTGAATAGTACTGTTGTTCTTCATTTTCCAGCCAGTATTGCAGGTCTGTTCAACAGGTCTATTGACCCCGTTTAATAGCACCATTGGTTTCCAAATCTTATGCTCCCCGGGAGTATCACACTTCTTATCCTGGAGTGATTTTTGAAGTATCCCAAAGGGATTTAGAAACTTGAGCGTTACCAATATTATATACCAATAAACCCTTTAAGCTGGTTGCTAAACACCACACTAGAAAGAGGTACACAAAGCATAGGGAATTATTGCACAACCTGTACACTCCATTAAAGTTATTAGCTACATTGTTTGTTAACATCAAAACCAAGATTATATAGCATATAAATGCTAACACATACCTTTCTTCCCAGAATTCTCCAGTGACTTCCCTCATTTTTCTGTAAGTTTCTGACTGCAAGAGGAACAACTCAATGGAAGAATAAGAGAAAGAACCTAAAGACTAATGAATTCCTTGCCTTGTACCTGTTTGTCTCCTTTTGGGCCTTCAAAGAGTTCAGGGTCTGATGACAGGTCCAGGTAAAGTACATCTTCACCTGAGGACAAAAATGCATGAACAGCTGAGGATTTTGGCCTCTATGCAGGCATTGTAAGAGGAAAAGAAAAAAATTAGACTTTTCTTTCGGTGCTCCACTTGAGCACCATCACTATGTCTAATTTTTTTAGAACCTTATTAGTCTAAATTGAACCAATCGGTCTGGTTTTTCACAGTGAAGAAGGGTGACCATAAACCACAAAGTGGCACTGCCACATTAGTCCTACTCTTTTAATTTTACCTCAAAACATCTTTGACTTCATTTGTGTCACAGTTATTCATCCATTTAAATTTCAATATTAATAAAGAGGGCTAACATGTTGGGCAAGAAGTGTGAATGATGAAATTACATGTCAAGTGTTAACCCTTTTTATTAAATGGTTAAATGACAAATTTAAATGGAGGACTAATTGTGACAAAGAAATGAAAGTTATGGATGTAATTAGGTAAAATTAAATATAGGACTAAATGTGGCAATGCCACATTGCCACAATAGTTAAGGACTAAAAGTGAAATTTGCTCATTTAGTTATTTATTTTCTTGATCATGAGCTCCTTGTAATGACCTCAATTCCATTCTGCATTTCTTGTCCCCTTACACACCAAGAATGACATAATTTGAAAAGAAAAAACAAAGTTAAAAAAAAAAAAAAAAAAAAAAAAAAACGGCATGAGGCATGATTTCTTGCCTGTATTCATCCTTGAGAGAGTGAAGTCAATTATTGAGATAAGCAATCCAAATGTTCTCACATGTATTTGTCTTCCCTCAAGAATGAATTTCACAGTAGGAGAAGCTTTTCGTGTCAAAAGGATGTTTCCCCTAAGATGTAAGAAATAAAAGTTTATTCAAATTATAAATCAGAAACATAGACACCCCTAAGATGTAAGAAATAAAAGTTTATTCAAATTATAAATCAGAAACATAGACACAATAGACAATTTTACATTGATTTTTTTACTGTTGAACCAATCTCAAGACAAGGAAACAATACCAGTGTAAATCCCGATGCTCAAATTCATATGCTGCCTCAGCTACTGCCAAAGCAAGCGTTGCCTGGAATGTGTACTTAGCAGTTATGCAATAATAAAGAACACAGAAATCTAGTTGAGACTGTAAATTTGCATTTGCTAACCTGAACTAACAGACTCCGCGCTTCATCATAGTTCAAAAGAACAAAGCTCTCAAGATCCTTGCCCCCATGTTCTTGAACAAAAATAATGTAGCACTGAACACAATTTTAGTTTTTAACTGTTGGCTTAGTAACAAAGTCATGTGCATAAACATTTATCTGAAGTTACAGGCAATTATCTTGTATGGATAATTGGGAAAAATGCATTCCAAACCCATTTCAAGTCTGCCTCATTCCCTGGGCACAGTTTTCAGAGCACACTATATATGATTTTATAAGGTAAAACCAAGCAACTTCTAGCTCTCTGAAAATATGTCGTAAACAATAAAAATTGGCATAGAAAGCAACCTGCTTTTCTGGAAACTCCCTAGGATTGTCGTTTAATGTACCCTGATTCAATTCCCAGTCTTCCCATGCTCTTATCAGAGAAGCATCATAAGGACCTTGGCATACTCTCATGCTGTGGCATAAAAATAAAAAGATTACATTATCATTGTTACCAAATTGCTTTACTGCATTTTCAGTTGACAGAATTTGTTTACAGACTGGAACTCATTTGAAACATGTCAACATGACCAAAAGTAGTGACTGTTAATGACATCTCTAAGAACTAGTGCAATATTAACTTTATCCAAGCCAAGGAGTTTAAAAATGATTTTAGAATCAAAATGTGTTTCTGAAAACTAAATCAACACTATTTTCTGTGATGTATTATAGTTTGCAAGACCTGCTGCAAGTAGACTATGTATCGTTTCTCCCCACTATCTCAACCAATTCTCTCACGCAAAAATTCCCTTGAAAGGAAAGCTGAGAGGGAAAAAGAAAATCATAAAAGATCAAACACTAGTAGATACCCCTTTGTTATATCCTAGACAAGATTTGCCAAGCAGAAACAAATTTGGTCCAAAGCCCCCATTATTACCCAATGAAGGGGATACAAATTATGACACTTCATACAATTGCATAATAGTTGATGTATCGTTTCTCACGCAGAAATTCCATCTGGGTTGTGCTAGTAGAACACAATAGCAAATAACTTACTCTATCGTTTGTATGAATGAAGTGCAGCAATTCAACATGTCATTTTCATATCCTCTTAGACTATTAAGGGTGCCAGACAGTATGACTTCCTCAAGTAATTCTTCTGCTTTCTGTAACATGTGAAACATAGATATTGAATTAGAACAATCAGCAAAAACACTGATAGAAGAATTAAAAAACTCCTCTTTTATATGTTACCAGATTCAGTAGTTAAGCCTTCAATCCTTCAAATCAATTTTTCTTTAACAGAATAAAAAAGGGAAGTCTTTTGAACTAATACCTTCTGTATTTCTCCATTCACTCGTAAATCTCCATCAAATGGAACAATCTTACATACACTTTCAGCAACCCTAAAAGCTTCCCCGTATGTCCCTTCACCAATCTTGACAATATCTGTAGGGTTACTGCATTGAATAAGTTGCAAAAGGAAAAAAGCAATTGCATGTTAGCGTAACCAAAGTAAGATATGTCTGTGGACACAGGACAAATACTACCACAAAGGAAATCAAAAGTAGTAAGAATGTAGTTTGAACAGTGAGGTTATCTATATAGTTGAAATGATGCAATTAGATTAGTAAGAGAAACCCGCACCAAGATTTTGATATGACATCTAGTAGTGTGAAAGGATGTGACTGCCCACATGCTGCTAACAGTGCCAAAAACGGATCCCAACTGTTAGCATCCAATGAAGAAGGCCTTGAAGTCAAAGAAAGTTTTCCAACTTGAACTTCAATATCTCCACCATCATCCCCTACAACAGTATGAACTTCTGCAATGCTTCTTTCTGAAGATGCCTTCCTTTTGGAGATATCTTCATTAGTGAAATCAAGGCATCTCTTTTCATTAAAACACATGCCTAACTGCAGTTGTATGGATGCATTTTCTGACGCTTTAAGGATTGAATATCTAGACAATTTGTAAGGAGCAGATTCCTTCCGTGATGCTGGAGTTTCTAGTATCTTGGAAAGTGAAGTAGGTGGTGCATAGCTATTATTTAATTTCTTAGAAAGCAACCATTTCTGTAAAATTGATGATAGGCGTGGTATTGCAACATGATCTGTTTGGATGGCCATGGTCCATGTACCAGATTTCTTAGGAGAGGGGCTTTCCTCCATTAAGTCAAACGCATCAACCTCTTCAAAGTATGCCTTCTCCTTGTCAAAGTTGGGAAGCTCTACTGCTTTCCCCTAGAAAGGTGTAAGAAATAGATGGAAGGAAATGACAAGTAATATTAGTATGTTAGATTCATTTGGCTTATGTAGCATTTGCTACCAATTTAAATTAAAGTACCCTTGGAAGAGGTGGTTTTGCTTTTCTTCCTGGCTTCCTCCGTTGAGGTTTCACACATGCAGTGACAGCAATACTAGTCCTCCCTCTGTCGATTAAAATTAAAGCAGCAGTCCAAGAGTGGAGTTCAGTAATCAATTGCCAATTACATTTCCAAGAGCAGAGAACTTGAAATACCAGCATGATAGTAGTAAAGTAGTGATAAACTTGAGAAGAAATCGCAGCACATTAAGCCACTAGACAATACAATAAATTGATCTCAAAGGAATAGCTAAACAAAAAATTAACAGGACCAGGTTGCAAGTGGCAAGGAAAGCATTTACGGGAAGAGAACATGAAGTTTTGCACTCATTCTCACCCCTAAAATGCACATTAACATTGAATAGAATGTGTGGTTAACACAGATTCATACAACCCACTTTGTTGACCTAAGTTTTAATTTTTCATCCATGAGTTGACTATTTGAATCACACAGGGTACAATCTGCATAACCGACAGCTTCAACTAGTACTTTAATAACCCATCCAAAAAAGAGGACTAAATAGTTGTGTCTTAATACAAACAGTTTGATAGTACTACTACAATCTGTTAAAGATAGCTTGCTTGGGAATGAACTCGGAACTGTAATCTCCATCATATACAAATTTCATTGAATTTTTTTTTAAACCCCTCAGTCCATAGTCAATTAGTCACCCTGTTTAGTTTTATTACATATAGTTGGGAGCTAAATATCTACACATAGTACCAAGCACATCGAAGGAAGTAGTATTCACATCACTGCAGCTTACCAAGTTCCATTAGACAGTCTGTAAACAAGGTGCTACATAACCAACCTTCTGATGCTTAGAACAGCCTCACTTGCAGGAATCATCATATCATATTCTTGAGCTACACATTTAATTTTTTGGAACCACATATAAGGGACTTAATGTCTTCGTCTAATCTCAACCATACGATTATTTTTTGAAGGATAAGACATGCCATTTGCCCCCACAGCATCAAATTCGATTACAGTATCATTACTTTTTTTATAAGTTTATCTGTGCTCAACCATATGATCATTTGTTGACAGAAGCCATGCCATTGCCATTTATCCCCATGGCATCAGACTGAATTATGTTATCTTTACTTTTTTTAGTTTATTTTCTTTCTTCTTATAAATACAACAGGCAAAATGACCACACTAGAAGTGAAATTCATTTCAGACTTTAAAAAAACTAAGGGTGTGTTTGGTTGGCACATGGGAATCGGAATCGGAATGGTTATCAAATACTTGGTAATGGTAATGGGTTTTACTGTAAGTATTTTGCATGCTTGGTAATAGGGTGGAATGGGAATGATTATCAATAATGTTGTTTGGTTATGTATGATCCAATAATGGAAATAAAGATTTTAAAAATACAAGAACACAAAATCAAGACAATTGATTCTAATATAAAGAAATCCAAAACACCAATATGAACAAAAAATAAGGGTATCATCCCCAAATAAAATCTAAAATCACTAATCAAAGGGGATGAGAAGGAATAAGGGAATGAAAGGGGATGATACCCTTATTTTATTTGGGTATGAGGTTTTCAATTAAGAAGGTATTTGAAACCATACTAGTGTTCTAAAATCCTAGCAACCAAACAATACCAATCACTTTGATACCCATTCCTTAGAGCTAAACTTGTCAACCAAACACACCCTAAAATCGACCAAACACACCCTAAAATTTCCCTAAATGGGCTTCATTTGTTACAGCCAATGAAGAGTACTTATAATCTTTTGCAGAAAAAAAAAAAAAAAAAAAAAAAAAAAAAAAAAAAAAACCATACTTATTATCTCATAATTCTTAACAGCAGAAACTAATTAGTAATTACTACGTTTTCAGGTTGAGCAAAATTAGGACACATATATGATATAACCTGGTGGAAAGGGAACGGTTCCAACTTATACGATTGGGAGGGGCAAGACTGAGACGATTCTCGACCTCCGAGCTTGTACTCGAATCCCTTCTGAAAGAAAAAACAGAAATAAATATTAAAATTTTGAACGAAAAAGTGAAATTCTTAAATGCGAAAAGGGAATAAATAACCTTGCTACATTTTGTTGAGTGTTAGTTTGAGGCTTTCTCCTCCGATAAATGACGGCAATTTCGGGGTCTTTAGGCTTTATTACAGTTACAGGACGCTGGTCGTTCCTTTTTTGCTCGGAAGCTATGAGCTCCGCCCACAAATCACCTGCATCTCGTGAAAATGGGAGCTGAAGTTGAGAAGAAATCCAAAAAATAGACATTTTTTTTTTGTTTTGCACTTGGATCTTCGTATACCTGCGCGAGAAGACATGACGTGAATGGTGTGATGAGACTTTGAGTTTGAAGTGGAGGCAAGGCGTTAGCGGTAAACCGGTCGCGTCATTGCACAGTGGAGACTGCCATTGCCAGAGACCAGAGTGGGGATTTTGAAATTTGAAAAATATAACGGGGGAGGGGGCGTACTGGCGAAGTATGTGAGACGACGTCGTGCTGTGTATTCCGGTAAGATGGAAACTGGAAAGGACACCAAGGTTGAAATGGGGGTTTTGAGCAAGTCTTATATATATCGGGTTTTTTTTTTTTTTTTTTTGCCAACAAGGAGATAAACACTTTTGGGCGTTTGGTTCACGAAATGTTATATTACCTCTTGGATTCAAGTTATAAGATTACCAGAAAGCTGGTGTGGCGGTAATGTTTCAAGGTAATGTGATTACCCCAATTTTATTAGGTAATCTAATTACCTTGAATTATTTCTTCTTCCAACCTTGAATTATTTCAATTTGTCCTTGTTAACTAATCCTTATATTATAATAATAATAATAATAATAATAATTGATAGCGTAAATTGAACCGGTGCTACGATTACACTACGAATACGTATGTTTGAGAATGAGTAGAATGAAGCGCTCGTAGGTCAGTCGGTCGGTCTACCGGACGACAACTGAGCGATCCGAGACTGAGTAGTAATGCAAGTAATAAGTGGTTACAAGTGGGTTGCTAGAATAGTGCAGACCGCCGCAAGAGTGCGGGTTGCAACTTATGAGTGGGTTGATATTAGAGGGTGAAGGTTACAAGTAGTAAGTAGTAGTTGTTGTGAGATTAAGATGAAAATATGAGAAGTGAGGAAGGGACCCTCTTATTTATAATGTCTAAGTCGGTCTACGCATTTAATGCGCCTGCTGCAAGTGGATCGACGTGGCGTCTTCTCGTTGGCTCAGTCAGGCGGTCGCTCTGCAGCTACTCGTATGTTGACTGACCGAGGTGACAGAGCCGCCCTACCTGCAAGCTGTCCATCGCCGCTCTACAAGTGTAAGTTGGACCCTAAGACTTATCGTGTAAATTACGTTTTCGGCTCTGCAGGCTACGTCTCTTTGTAGGCCGACCGGTCAGCCTACGGTAGACCGGCCGGGTGACTTTCCATCGGGGTGATTCCAAGGGTGATCCGGGAGCATCTTCTCTTGTCACGAGGCCTATCGGTACGAACTGTACGGTTGACCACAAGTATTTTAGTCTTGTTGAGCTGATGACCGTGACGGACCGGTTGGATACTTCTTAATAATGAAATAAATATATCATGAATATTTGATTATATAAATATATGTTTATATAATCAAATACACATGTGTGTATATTTATATATTTATGTTTATATAATCAAATATACATGTATGTGTGTGTGTATTAATTATTGAGGACATTATAATAAATTGATTCATATAACTTAAATCAGTCATTATTGCATGGACTATAAATAAAAAGTACATTTTTAATATACTAAGAGTACATTATTTATGTACGTAAGATACATTTTTTGAAAATACATTTTTAATATACTAAGGGTACATTATTTCGTATAATGTACCTTTAGTACAAACATAATGTACTTTTAATATATTAAAATTGTACATGATATTCATGGTCCACACAATAATTTGCCATTTAAAATATAACCCTTAACCAAATAAAGTAATATTATATCCCACAATCCAAACCAAACACATAAGGAATGTTAGATTGCTTGTAATGTTAAATTATGTGTTTGGTTAAAATTGAGGTATGTAATATAAACATGTTTGTTGAAGAGTTTTTTATTTATTTTTTTGAGTGTATTTTGCTTTAATATCCTTAACCTATTTTTATGTACTTCAATAAATTTCAAAATTAAAATAAATAAATAAGGTAATGATAAAATATAGAAATAAATCATTTAAAAACAAGAGAAAATTACAATTTTGGTCCTGTGACTATTGTGGTCTTGTTAATTTGAGTATTTGACTTTAAAAACTATCAATTTAGTCTTGTAACCATGTAATTTTTAACACATTTGGTCCTCCCGGCCAAATGTCGCCGAAAAAACGTATTTTCTTTAAAATTGTTTAATCATAGGGCTAAAATGGTCATTTTAAGCTAAATGTTCTTCTTCTTCCTTGATGCGCCTGCGAAAAAGCAAAATACACTGTTCAAAATACGCAGGTGGGTGATGCGCCTGCGAACAATGTTGTTTTCCTTCTTCATTACTCAGGGCATTTTGGCCGGTGCACTTAGAGCAGCAGGCGGGTGTTGAGCAAAATACGCTTGGCAAGAAAGAAGTAAAATATACAAAATGTACCCTCTGAATTCTGATCGAAAACCAGAGGCAAAGACGGCACCGCGGCGGTCCGGCGGAGTTGCTAGCTCGCTTCGGCTTCGGAGTCAGGGCTATGCTTGTCTCCTCGTTGTCTGCTATGCTCACTGGAGAGGAATTACCCTGTAACGCCGCCGGCAAAAATGGGTTGGGTGAAGCCCGGATAAAGTCCATCGCCATCTTCAAGTACTGGAAGGGAGATGGAGCGGTGGACGGCTCAATTGCCCACTTTGCCTCGGCGAATTTCAGGAAGACGATTGCCTCCGGAAAGCTTGTCGGAGTTGCAGAACCTCAGGTTTCTTTGAATCAGCCGAAACTTTCTCTCCGGCGGGATTCCGGTGGGGCTTGGTAAGCTCCAGAGCATGCAGACGCTCGATCTCAGTTACAATCAATTCTCCGAGAGCATTCCTCCAGCCATCGGAGCGTTGCCGGCATTTTCCAACGTTATTCCAGCCACTCGTTGTCCACAAAATTCAATGAAATGCTTGCGGTTTACGCTTAAACCCATCCCCAACACTTCCATGTCGCACTCCTACTTCCTTCTTCGCGTCGAAGAGCAGAAAGCAAGAACAAATAACTTTCCCCTTTTTTTTTTAAAGCTTAAAATGACCATTTTAGCACCATGATTAAACAATTTTAAAGAAAATACGTTCTTCCGGGGATATTTGGCCTGCGATTTGGCCGGGAGGACCAAATGTGTTAAAAATTGCATAGTTACAGGACTAAATTAATAAATTTTAAAGTCAAATACTCAAATTAACAAGACCACAATAGTCACAGGACCAAATGTGTAATTTTCTCTAAAAACAATTAACTAAAAAGTTTGAGATTGAGAAACATTCTATGTATTGAATGAGAGAAAAATTAATGGATTAAAATGAAAAAAATTATTAAAAACGAAGGGAATGTGAGAATACCTAAGGAAAGGGTACTATTCCCTCCGTTCCATTTTATGTGTGTGGTTCGGTTAACGAAACTTGACTGAAATTATTTTTAATCCAATTTTTCATAATATTATACAAAATTTATATATTTATAAATTACACTAAAAATACTATTAAACACAAAAAGTCAAATTTTAAAATAAATAAATAATACTAAAAAATAAACAAAAAAAAAAAGAAATAGTTACTTTGATCAATAAATAGTAAATAGGACATATGAAATGGGACTGATGAAATATTTATTAGTCAACTAATTTTTTTGTGCTTATTTTCATTAGTATTTTCAAATAATTTCTAACTTTAATATTTCTTTTTAATAATATTTTTAATGTAATTTTTAAATATATAAATTTATATACTAATTCTAAATTTAATAGTTAATACTATGAAAAATTAAATTGTAAATAACTTTAATTAAGTGTCGTTAATCAAATTATACATAAAATGAGACAAGTGGAGTATTTAGCAACAATTTAATGACTAAAATTGCATTTTTCTCTTATTATTATTTTGATATATTTGTTAGTGCTGATAGAAGGATCCGAATTCAAAGATATTATGCTATATTAAAAGAATATGAGCAAGAAAGCTATAACACAACAAATTAAGGGTGTGTTTGGTTCACAGATAGAAATCAGAATCAGAATGTGAATCAAATACTTGATAATGGTATGAGTTTTGGTGAAAATATTTTACAATGTTTAGTAGTATGGTGGAATTGAAATAATTACTAATATTGATATTTGGTTATGTATAACTCTATAATGGGAATAAATGTTTTAAAAATATAAAAATAAAAAATCAAGACAATTGATCCTAATATAATAACATCCAAAGCACCAATATGAACAAAAAAAAAAAAAATCAAAACAAAAATCCAAACTTAAAAATTACATTACCAATAAAATGGCCGGAATGATACATTTTTAATTAGGGAATTGATTTTTAATTAAAGGGGTAATCAAATTCGTAGTTGTGTTTTAAAAAGTTGTCAACCAAACACTAAGTATGATTTTAATTTTTATTCATAGTGTGTAAATCCGGCCATTTACCAAACACACCCTAAATTTATTTAATTGGGAATATAATGCGTATTGGGAGAAAACTAATAATAATAAGTGTTGTTGTTGTTATTATTATTATTATGAAAAAAAATCGACTATAAGCACGGATATGATTGTATATATATATATATATATATATATATATATATATATATATATATATATATATTTTGAATATCACAATTATATCCGTGCGTATAGTAGGAAAATTTTTCATAATACTCCGTAATAATAATAAATTTAATTTAGAGTGTGTTTGGTTCATTATTAAACACAATTATTTAATTTGAAGGAAAAACCACTTTCAAAACTTGCTTTTAAGCATGGAAAACGAGTCTTTTATGCATGATTAAAATATTAATTATTCTGCCTTAGCAATCTCTCTCGAATAACAACTGGTAGCGTTTCATTTTCTGTTCCTGCTAGCAAAAAAGACCAACCAACCTCTAGGTGTTCAATTCTCTCTCTCACAATCTCTGTTTTTCTTTTAATAAATATTTTGCTAATAATTATGGAATAAAAAAATATTTTCTTATTCAAATCATTATCTAATATTTATTTCTGGGCATAACATAACATATGTATAAGCCTTAAAAAAAAAAAAAAAAAAACATTGATTGGCTACTTGTGAATTAGTCAAAATCCCACCATTAATTAATAATAAAAAGTCTAGACTCTGATCTTGAAAGTGGGAGGAATTGAGAATTTTAATTATTGAGGGTTTTCAAAGAGTTACGGAAGAAAAAAGAATAAATGCAGTGTATATGATTTATGCTTCAAAAATGGTTATAAATTGGGATAATCCTAGTCAAGTTAGTTATATTGTTGATTTAGTAATCACAAGTTTACAAGTTTGAGTCTCATCGAGAGTGATTTATTGGTCTTCTTAGTTTGAGCTGGTCGGTGTAAGCAGCTATGGGCAACCTAAGCTAGTTTAACTCCTTGTTAGTTGTGTTTTGCCGGCTAGGATCACAATGCGAGATTTACCATGTGCATACCTTCGAGTAATGGCTATGAGTTTCCCTCGTCACAAAAAAAAAAAAAAAAAAAAAGTTATGTAATAAGTAATTTTTAGACATTGTTGGAGCTCTACCTTCACATGTAAGATTTTAATTTCTTTTATATATATAGATTTTTAAATATATATATATATATATATATATATATATATATATATATATATATATATATATATATATATATATATATATATATATATATATATAAAGTTGACTAGACTTATTAAGCAGTTCGATTGAACTAAATATCTAGAGGTTGTTGGTTTACCAAACACTATGTTGTCTATGCCTATATAATGCCTATATTGATGAGATATAGAATGTATAGTTTAGGGTACTCAAACTGAGGTAACACAATTAATTAAGAAAATATCATCTATGGTAGAGGTGTTTCGATCTCTAATGTTACGAGCTGAGGTTAATTAGGTTTCTTGTAATTAAATTTTTATAGAGTTCATGTCAGATTATATTTTTGCAAATGTCAATTTTGGTCTCACGAGTATTAGCAAAATGACAATATTTGATCCACATGTTTAATTCTGATCAATTTTCATCAACGATTATTATTTTAATGTCAAAATTTATCATACCGGTCATCTCTCCATTTAAGACATATCAGAACATGAAATTATATATAAAAGTATTTTTCATCTTTTCATAACTAAGATTCCAATTCAATTCAAACATGAATAAATTAAAGGGATTATTTAGACATCTACGAGACAAACAACTAAGAGAAGAAGCTGCATGAGTGGTAGGAAACCCTAGAATACTAGGGAGTTTTTTAAGAATAAAGTTAAATTAATTAATAGTAAACAAACAAAAGAGTTGACTTGAATCAAATTAGTTACTCCAAAAATTATTATGGGGCAGAGTTTGGTTCAAAAGATTCACATTATTATGGCATAATTTAATTATTTGTCCTTATATAATTGCAAGCAATATTAATGCGGTAGGTAGAAATTTATTAATTTTATTTCCAAATTCTTGTTCTCATGAATTTTTTAAATAAAAAGTTATAAAATTATATTATTATGGAACAATGACCCTTTAACTTTTATATAGTGATCTTCTTCTACACATGGTTTTCGTTGTACTCAACTCCCATAAAAATGTATTAGGCTTTTATTATTTTCATTTTATTATTAAAAGAGTTCAAATGAGAGTTACTTTGATGAATAAAAGCATTTATTTTACAATCCATGACGCACTTTCATATTTAAAATAACAATTGTATATTTTTTTCTTTATAAATGTGTGTCTCAATGTCTCAACATGAACAATTGTAAAATAAACACTTCCATTAATGAAAATAATATATTTTTAAAGTACTACTGACTTTGTTACAATGTAATATCTGTTCCTACATACTTTCTCAACCTACTGAAACACAAAGAGTCAATGTCCTTACACCGAGATTTGAACCTGTAACTCTTCCAAAGTCACAATTATACTGCTCGACCACAAAGTTTTTGACAAATAATATATAGTTACACACAAATCTTGGAAAATAGTGTCTATCTACTACTAATTGTAAAGGATTGTTGATTAGGTTAACTACTAGTTAATTAAAAAGAAGTCTTTTATTAGGGGTGTAATTTTGTAAGAACAACCTTAATATGGAATTTTTTTGATTTTTCTCGTAGAAGTCTCTAACAGTGGAGACTTTTCTACATATGAGGGGTTGAGAATGTGAGAGTATGAGTGGTAATTCATTCATCATATCATAAAAGCAAACAATATAAATAGAGTACAGAACGCGAAAGCAATAAATTATTTAATATTCATTGATCAAATCAATTCTTTCTTTTTTGTTTATTTTTTAAAATATTTTTTACTTCTTTTTAAATTTGATTTTTTTTTTTGGTGTTTAATAGAACTTTTAGTGTAGTTTCTAAATATATAAATTTTGTATATTAATACTAAACTTAATATTATGAAAAATTAAATTAAAAATAACTTTAGTCAAGCCTCGTTAACCGAACCAGACACATAAAATGGGACGAAGGAGTATATATCTTCAATATTTTGTATCTGTTGGATGAAAAAGTATTGTAGTGGAGTGTTTAGGTGGATTGTTATACATGTTTCCAAGAGTGGAGCATCTACATCAATGTTTTTTTTTTTTTTTTTGAAATAGAAAAAATTAAGTGGGTAGTTTTTGCATAAATGGGAGATGGGATTTTTAGATCTATTTTTCTCCGGCAAGTGCAAAACTTTTGTGGGGTCCACTGGTTGAGAAATGGAAACAAAGCTCTCTACTTTTTTTCGCGTGCTGGAAACGCAAGCGCCCAGCCGCACGCGCCTACTGGTGTGCCGGCCTGTTGGTCTTTTTTTTTTATTTTTTCTTTTCAGCGTCAGACCTCTTTTTTTTTTTTTTTCTTCTCTCTCCTAGTGACACTTCAAAAACTGTGTAAAATACATAGCTGATGAGGATGCTCTTACAAAGGTAATATGAGAGCTATTAAAAAGGCTTAGCTTGATAAACAAATATAGGGAGTCCAGTCTGTAAAACATACACATACAAGAATTATGCATGGTGAATTGGTGACTAGTGCAAAAAATCTAATAAATTAATAATCCCAAACAATCCTAGAAAACTAATAATCTATAGACCATTAATAATCTCAGAAAAAAAAAATCATTAAGTAAATTTTGAAATATGCACGGTGATTAGTGCAAAAATAAAAACTTATGAAGTTTACATAAAATTGAATTTTGGATTTTCAACTTACAATGAAATAGCACTAAAAACAAAGTATTAGTAATTTCAGACAAAAAAAAAATGTAGAGAACAATGCAAAAATTAAAGCTTTTAATGAAAATGATTAAAGAAGTAAACTTTGAAATATGCATGTATAGAACTAAGTAGATAAAGGGAGAGACTCAGAGACATATATAGGAGATGAGGAATATTTTGGCCAGGCTATGTAGCATTTTATAATGAAGTCAACTAAAAAAAATAGTGAATATTACTTACAATTTGAAATAGTTTTGATCCCTAACAACTTTCATCTCCTTTATATTATCGTGGTTCTCCAATTATAAAGATAATAGCATTGGTTTTTATAGAAAAGAATTAGGCTTTTGTAGCATTCAAAAAAAGAAAGTTATCAACACTTAGAAATTATAATTTCATTACAACATGATTCCCTCACGTAATTCTAAATGCAAGTAAATTCCTTTGTTTGGTCGGAGTAAATTGCAATTCTGCGGAATTACAATTCTCTCATTTTTATAGAATTAGAATCCCGTGTCTTCATTAGTATTTCAATTTTTTTGATTTTTAAGAAGAAAAAAAATAACTTTGAGACAAAATTATCCCTCTTCAATTGTTGAGGCCTAATTTGTTCATACAGGTTGATAAAAACTTGCAAGAAAATGTATTTAATATATGTCTCAAGTATTATATGATTCTTGATTCTAACCCCCCCCCCCCCCCCCCCCATTTTTTATATATTTATTTATTTTGACATTATATTATACATGATTAAAATTATGGTGCAGCGCACTAAATTTCAATGGTAGAGCGCACGTTGAAAGCAGCTAAGCCTACTACTACTAGCACCAGGAAACAATAATGAAGACTTTACACCAGATATTAATTCAAAATACATTAATAATAAAGCTTAATAATTATTTAAAACAAACTCAAAATCGGAAATTAATTATGTACTTAGCAGAAATAAAGCTCAAATACAATAACAATCAAAGATAGAAAAATAATTGTATAACACCATACATATATCGAGGTCTTGATGTACTTTGGGTGTGCTTGGTTCATAGGTTTACACACTAGGAATGGAAATCAAAATTATAGTTATTGTTTGCTTTAGGGCTGGATATTTCGGTTCGAGTTATTCGAACCGAACCGAATCGGATCGGTTTGGTTCGGTCTTAGACCAAGAACCGAGAAACCGATGTTTTTTTTTTTTTTTTTTTAATTTTTATAATAAATATAAATATATAATGTATTGTATTAAATGTCCAAAGTTAGGTTTAAACCCTTGAGCATCATCAAGTTATAAATTATGAACTTTATCCATTAAGCTATAAGCACATTTATATTAATACTTACATTTGTATGCTAATAAAAAGATACATTTTTCATTAAATGTTGTACACTTTAATTATAATGGAAAAAATTGTCCATACTACATTCTTGTGAGACAAAAGTACCCTTATACCGTTATAACACCGTTACTATTTAATTCTAACTTTCATAACTCTATCATTATTATCATAAACATATATCTATGATATATTTTTCCTATTCTTTAATTATCATTTTATTAAAATCATTATATAATTACTTTAATTGTTGATTATATTTTAATTAAATTTCTATGAATGGTAAAACATATATGTGTGTGTATATATATAGGCACACACACGCACCAATATATGTGATCGGGTACTAGATTAGTCATTAGTATTATAAATATTTTATTTATTTATTGTAAAAATAAAGTATAAATTATATCAAAATTGTTTACATTATTAATAAACAAAATATAAATTGTGTTTATCTCTATAATTTTCAAATACGATGATTAAACTTTACTACTTTAAATAATTGCGAAATATAATTTGAACTATAATTTGTAATTATTTGCATTTATTAATTTTTTAATGTTAGACATAAATTTTAGCGCATCCCGCCTACAAAATACTAGTATTATTTATGTCCCCCATAAGGTGAAATCTTTTTGTTGGCAACTGGTTTCAAATTATTTACCTACTAGGGATGCACTCCTTACGAAATGTGTGGCATGCTCACTTGTGTGTCATATGTGTAGGGGTGGAGATGAATCTGCGCTGCACATGTTTGTTCACTGCCTTTCTGCTACGGATGCTTGGAGTAGATTGGGTGTGCCAATGTCTGCAAATTATGATAATGTTGGTAATTGGTTCTTTAATTGTATTAATGTTTTGAGTGATGAGTTATTGGCTAGATTTGCTATGGTTTGTTGGGGTATTTGGACTAGCAGGAACGAATATGTGTGGACGGGTGTAAATTTTGATCTGAACAATGTGATGCAACGCTCTCTTGTGTTCTTAGTCAATTGGTCCGCAGCAAATGCGCAAGTGACATCCGTAGCGCCCGGTTCAACTGCGGTTAGGTAGACGAAGCCAGGTAGGGGTATGCTGAAATTAAATACGGATGCTGCATTTAATAACTCGACATGTGAGATGGGTTCGGGTGGGTCTTAAGAGATGAGGATGTCCGTTTCCTTGCTGCAAAGAATATGTGTGTGCTAGGAAGTTGCTCCATACGGGAGGTTGAGGCAATGAGTAACTGCGAGGCCCTTAGTTGGTTGATGGACATTGGGATGGGAAATGTAGAGGTTGAAATGGACTCCCAAGTCGTATTTAATGCTTTACGTTCTTCTTCTTTTAATTCTTATTTTGGACTTATGGATGATATTAAGGAATTAGCCAACCACGATTGGTGGTGTTGAATTCCGTTTTGTTAAGCAATCTGCGAACTATGCCGCTCACAATGTTGCTCGGGGGGCCTTTTCTGTGTTAGGTTGCGGGGAGTGGTTTGATACACCCGCATCTTTTATTGTAAGTTGTCTTGTCAGTGACTTAATGAATTAATCTTTCCTCCTCAAAAAATTTCAACTTCTCAAGTCCTCATACCTCAACTCTAAGTTGTAAATCTCAACATTTGGTGTTTTAATAATTATTATTTTTCAAATATTAACTATGTAGATGGATGATTCTTCATCTTGTCATTAACAAAACACTTCAAGTGGCACTCCAAGTGAGCCTACTGATAATCAGTCAGGCAAAAAAGAGAACGTTCAAATAGTAGACTTCACCAAAACCGAACCGAATCGAAACCAAATTTTTTCAAACCGAACCGAAACCCGAAACGCCCACCCCTAGTGTGGTTGACAACTTTTGAAAAAAATACAATTATAGTATTTGATTACCCCTCCAATTAAGAACCACTACACCACCACCACCATTACCATCACCAACACCACCAGCACCACACTACCACCACTACTATACCACTTATTATTATTATTATTATTATTATTATTATTATTATTATTATTATTGTTGTTGTTGTTGTTGTTGTTGTTGTTGTTATTGTTGTTATTGTTATATAACAAATAACACCACTACCACCACCACCACCACCACCACTACTATACTACTTTTTATTATTGTTGTTGTTTTGAATGACAAAAACTTTGGTTAGTTATTTTGATATCTTATTAGTTATTTTTATTATATTTAAAATTATTATTATATTATTATATATTATTATACATGTTAGCGGGGGTATTTGGGTCTTTTGGAAGGACCCAGTACACGTGTCTATCTTGTATACTCACCCCCAGTTCATGTTACTACAGGTTACGCAGTTTGGCCACCCACCGTGGGTGTTCGCGCCTGTATATAGGAGCCCGACTCACCACCTACGACGCCGGCTCTGGAGGGAGCTCTCACAATCCAAACGGGGCGTGTTTGGCTCTTGGCTCGTGGCTGGAGATTTTAATTCCGTCATCTCGAAGGCGGAAACCAACAACTATACATCTTATTCCACCCAACGAAGCTCGGACTTCGTCACATGGATTCAGGACGAAGGCCTTATCGTCTTGGGCTTCTCGGGGCCCAAGCTTACGTGGGTGAAAGATGGGCAAATTATGCTGTGCATCCGTATGCACCATGCATGGTGCATACGGATGCAAAAACGACGTCGTTTTAATAAAACACGCGTCTCCCCTTTAAAAAAAAACAGGTTCGATTCCCAGCAACAACATATGAACTAAAATTCCATAATCGATGAACTATAATTCCATAACATAATCTATGAACTAAAAATTCCAGAATGAATGAACTAAAATTCCATAATCTATAAACTAACATTTCAGAATCGATGAACTACAATTCCATAATCGATGAACTATAATTCCATAATCAATGAACTATAATTCCATAATCTATGAACTAAAATTCCAGAATGAATGAACAATATAATGTTGTTGCTAGGAATCGAACCTGAATTTTTTTTAAAGGGGAGACGCGCGTTTTTTAATAAAACGACGTCATTTTGGCATCCGTATGCACCATGCATGGTGCATACGGATGCACAGCATAACTATTGTGAAAGATGGGTTAACTGATGCTTATAAAGGGGTCCGTCTCGACCGGGCCCTATGCAACTTGGATTGGCGTATCCGTTTCACGGAAGCGACTGGCGAACACTTGCCCCGAATTGCTTCTGACCATGCACCCCTCCTGGTAAGACTACAAGGAGGCCGACAACACTCTCACAATAATCATTTTCTTTTTCAGGGTGATTGGCTAACACACGAGGACTTAGGCAAGACTGTCCGGTGCCTTTGGAGTACGGACCACAACCTCATGGCAAACGTTCAACAGGTAGCCGCAGGTCTATCCGCGTGGAACAGGGAGGTTTTCGGGAACATCCACAAACGGAAGAAGGTCATCCTGTCACGCTTGAGCGGCATCCAAAAAGTGCTGGCCGAAAACATGCACAGAGGCCTGTTTAAGCTGGAACAAAAGCTGCAACTAGAGCTGGAAGAAATCTTGTACCAAGAGGAACTGATGTGGTTCCAGAGGTCCAGAGAGGACTGGATTACGTCAGGGGACAGAAACACGGCGTATTACCACGCTGCTGCCACAGTCAGAAGAGCTCGAAATAGGGTTGCAAGACTTCTCGATAACAACGGCACATGGATTACGAATGATTCCGAGCTGAAGGACCATATACAGCATTTTTACATTAATTTGTTTACTGATTGCAGGGAGGTGGCAGAAGGCCAACTTTTGGAAGCACGCTTCCCTCGGCTAAGGCGCATTGATTGGACTATCTTCAATCGGGAAGTGACTAAGGAAGAAGTTCACGAGGCTGTTTATGACATGAAGCCTTTCAAAGCCCCAGGCCCGGATGGGCTTCCCGCAGGGTTCTACCAACACACGTGGGATGTGATTGGGGATAGCGTTTATGAGATGGTCTCTCAGGCTTTCAGACATGGACGGATACCGGAGGGTATCAACGACACCCTTGTGGCTCTCATACCTATAGTGCAGATCCCGGACACTATCAAACAGTTTCGCCCCATAAGCCTTTGCAATGTAAGCTATAAAATTCTCACCAAAACCATTACCAACAGGTTGAAAAGCATCCTTCCTCGGATGGTGGGACCGTTCCAGAGCTCTTTCATCCCAGGAAGACAAATTTCTGACAATGTGATCATCTATCAAGAAGTCCTCCACACAATGCGGGAGTTGAGGGGTAACAAGAAGTACATGGCCATCAAACTGGACCTAGAAAAAGCATACGACCGGCTTTCGTGGGATTTCATCAAGGATACTCTTAAGCAAGCCGGCTTCAATGAACGGTGGAGAGACATTATCATGACATGCGTCACTACTCCTAGGCTTGCTATCATATGGAATGGGGATAGACTTGATCCTTTCAGGCCTGAAAGAGGCATTCGCCAGGGGGACGCCATGTCTCCTGCCATTTTTGTGCTTTGTATGGAGCGCTTGAGTCAGTTGATCATCTCGGAGGTTGAAAGCCTTAGGTGGAAAAGAATTAAACTTGCTGCTTCCGGCCCAACTATGTCGCACCTCTGCTTCGCGGATGACATGGTTTTGTTTATAGAAGCTTCTTTGGACCAAGTGGAAATTGTCCAAAACTGTTTAGCTAAGTTCTGCACGGCTTCCGGGCAAAAGGTCAGCCTCGAAAAATCCCAGATACATTTTTCCAAGAACATGGCGCCAGCTCTTGCAACCGAGATAGAAAGCAAATTTGGCATTTCTGAGACCAAGGATTTGGGGCGGTATCTTGGTGTGCCTTCCATTCATGAGAGGGTTACGTGTAACATCTATGCCGGACTCCTTGAACGTATTGCGGCTCGTCTTGAGGGATGGAAGTAAAAAAACCCTTTCTTTAGCGGGAAGAGTAACTCTGGCGAAGTCCGTCCTTAATGCTATTCCTGTTTATACAATGCAGACTGCGGCCCTGCCTAAGGGCATTTGTACCGAGATTGAGAAGAGAACTCGAAGATTCATCTGGGGTAAAAATGAGCAGACCAGAGGTGATAAAATGAGTCTTGCCAGCTGGGAGATGGTGACCAAGCCGAAAGAAGCGGGAGGCCTTGGCCTGCGCCATCTGCACGATATGAATATTGCATGCATGGTTAAATTAGGATAGCGGTTACATACTGAATTTAATACTCTTTGGGCGCAGGTACTTACATCTAAATATGGCAGAATGGAACATGCAGTAGGCAGACGGAAGACTTCTAATGTTTGGAAAGGAATAACTATGGCGAAGGAGTTCCTCGACAATGGCCTCACACATCTCGTCCGCGATGGGAGTGCTACCCAATTTTGGATGGATAAGTGGATCATGCCTAGGCCTCTTTATGATCAGCTCCAGATCCCTTTGAGTTTACCTGATCTATACGCGACTGTGAACGCATACTGGGATCAGGACCGAGGGTGGAAATGGGAGAAACTAGCCAACACTTTGCCGCAGGAAGCCATGGAGCGCATTGCAGGATATAGGCTGACGGAGGATGGCGTCTCGGATGAATGGGGCTGGGGACCGGGCCATCGGGGGCAATTTTCAGTCAAACCGGCGTATGCCTTCATCACCAATGCATCCGTAGACGCAGCTGACAAGGATTGGAAGAAAGTTTGGGCTCTTCGGGTGCCCGCTAGAGTCTCGATGTTTCTGTGGCTTGTAAAACTTGGGAAGATCCTTACCAATGTAGAACGCGCCAGGCGCCATCTCACCTCTAACGAATTTTGTTTCCAATGTGCAGGGAAGCACGAGGATTTAGACCACATTTTTCGAGATTGTACGGCAGCGCGGCAAATCTGGAGTCAGAGCCTCCACTGGCAAATGATCGACAAATTGCGACATTTAAGCTGGCAGGAGTGGTTTACGGTGAACTTGCATGGTGACGCGAAGCAAGGATTCGACGAAAGATGGCCTGAACGCTTCGGAAACAGGCTTTGGTGGATTTGGCGATGGCGTAACGACGAGGTGTTCAATCATCATCACATCCTAATCACGCAAAAGGTTGAATGGCTTCGTAGATATAATGCTGAGGTGGCCGGAGCGTTCGCGAAGAAAAGACGACCTCTCAACAGGAAACCAGCGATCGTGGAAACTAGTCTGGCTTGGAGAAAACCGCCAAGGGAGTGGGTGAAAATCAACGTGGATGGAAGCTGTTGAAGAAACGGAGTTGCAAGCTGCGGCGGTGCTCTACGGAATGACCTTGGCGAATGGCTCTGTGGCTTTACATGCAAGATAGGACGGTGTTCGATAGAAGCTGCAGAAGCTTGGGGCGTCTTACATGGTCTCTGCATGGCGAAGAACTGGGGAGCTACCAAGATCATCCTCGAATGCGACTCGAAGACCACAATTGCGAGCCTGCGCAAATGATAGGAATGGCACGGACAAGATGACAACATTGGCAGGCTGTGTTTAAGACTAGCGACACATTTTTCAGAGGTTCGTTTTGAGCATATATACAGAGAACAAAACAAATTGGCGGATAGCTTGGCTGCTATAGCGAACACGGATCAACAGGGGTTACATATCTTTGAAGTGCCACCCCCGACGCTTGAATGTGTGATCGAAATGGACAAGATTGGAGCCTCCTCAACGCGGCGTGTTCCTCAAGCCCCCCTTTCGGGTGTGTGAAGCCGTTATTTTTTGGATGTCCCCCTCAACTCTGAAGAAAAATATAACAAATAACACCACTACCACCACCACCACGGCACCACCACCACTACTATACTACTTTTTATTATTGTTGTTGTTTTGAATGACAAAAACTTTGGTTAGTTATTTTGATATCTTATTAGTTATTTTTATTATATTTAAAATTATTATTATATTATTATATATTATATATTATTATACATGTTATATTTTAAATAAAAAAAATTAAAATATTTAATTATACAAGTATACTCATTTTTCAAAAAATGAATCAAACACACCAAAATAATTTTTAAGAATGCAACCATTATTTTCTTTTGAAAACGACTCATTTTTTAAAAAATATTTTTCAAAAGTCATTTTCCAACCGCGGTCGCTTAACAATCTATATATATATAAAAGTAAAATCCTCCTTCCCAAATTTTCCCCCCAAAACTTAAGGGCATTTGTGTAATATTCAAATTTAATTAATTATATATATACTTAAAAGGCAATTTAATAATATCAATATTATAAATTAATTAGGAATAAGATTAATTAGGAATATTAATATAATGTCTTGATTATGAATATCAATATAAATGAATTGATTATGGCAATACCTTAAATAAATAAATACACTTTCCTTTTGAAAAATTTTACAATTTTATAATTCTTATATTTTTCACCTATAAATACAATGAGTTTATACCTAACAAAATTATAAGTCTTCATTTTACATTGCATCACTCTTTTCCCTTGCAGGTGACTCTCTCATCATCGATTTATCAATGTAATATTAAAGGTACAATTTCTCTTCTAGCTATTTCTATCTTTAATTTCTCCGGGTTGATGCCACTCTAGACCAGTTGTAGTTGCTCTGACTAAGCCAATGCAAAAAGGTATAATTTTTTTAGAAAAATCTTTTTTTTTTTTTTCGTCTTATTTTTGTTTGTAATTGATCTTCCATAGTTTTTAATTATTGTTTTTTGTTTTTGAAATTTTGTATTATATGTATTTTTTCGTATTATTGGTTTGTTTAAAACAATAATTTTGTAATATTGTTTATATATTTTAGTTCCAGACATGGTTTTTGTTATTTGTGCGATGCAATGGTTACAGAGTCATTAGGGTATACTACCCGAGTTCACTGTTTTTTTTTTTTTTTTTTTTTTTTGTCTATTTGTAGTTAAGAGAGAAGCGAAAGTTGCGGTCAACAAAGCCATCTGATGAAGGTGGTGGAAAGCAGTTCCTCTTCACTTGATGAAGATATTTCTTCTTATTCTGAGAAAGAATTGAAGGCCAGTGGATTAAAATATCTTTGTATGTGCATGCTTGAAAGCACCATTTAGTGTTTTTTGCTTTTATTTGCCTAAACTATATTTCCTGTAATTAAATTCTTATAAAAATCAATGTTCTTATATTTTTTGTTTTTAGAGTATGGATTATTTGTTCCATTCAATATTTTTTTTTTAAATATTGTGTGTTGTGTTTTAAGTACTGATTTGAGTATCTGATGGTGTTTTTTTATTGTTCTCTTTGTGTTATGGAGACTGGAGAGAGAATTTTATTTTTTATTAATAGAATAGATTATCATATGTTTGTATTATGGTAACATTTATTTAAAGTCTAATGAACTTAAAAATTTCTATACTGTTAATAAAAATAAAATTCTCCTGTGTAGTTTCCAGCCCAAACGTCTATTAATAATATGGTTATTTTCCTTAAAAAAGGAAAATGGAAAACAATCGGTAGTATCAAGAACTTTTAAGGAAGATTGTGCAAAAATAATAGAACCAAATTGAATATTACTATTTAATCGCTCAAATTTAAAAATAATAAGCTTATTAAAATAATCTGTAATTTATCATATATATATATATATATATATATATATATATATATATATATATATATATATATATATATATATATATATATATAAAGAGTAAAATCCTCCTATTTCATTTTTCCGTTCAAATTTTTGTAGTCAATTAAGTAAATATTTTATTGGTCAAATCTATACTATTAATTTATTGGTAAAATAATTAATAAAGCATAATTGGTAAGAAAATAATGTAATTTATAAAGAAATATTCTTTGGTAAGAAATTAAGGAATAATATAATGTTATTATGCTAAACTATTATTATAAGGTAATAACCTAATACGGAGTAAGTAATAACTTAATTTATAAGGAATTAATTTACTTACCAAAGATTAATTTTTAATTTTTAATTTTAATTCCCTATTATGCTAAACGTTATTATGTTGTTATTATACTAAACATATAATATAATTTTTCAAGAATATTTTTCCTATGTTGTTAAGAGCTGTGAAGATTGATAGTCTGGGTTGAGTCTAACAAAGTTTTTACTGGACAGAAGAATGATTTTTATTTTTATTTTTTTCCATGGCTTTATTATAATAATAATAATAAAGGAAAAAGAAATGATTGAATTCAAAATATCATTTGTATTTTCTTAATACTCCGTAATATATAATAAGTTTTAATTCAAATTCTATTCAAATTACGTTAGTATAAGTTTAATTCAGTAAGTAATAAATTGCATCTGTTTTTAAGTATATATATATATATATATATATATATATATATATATATATATATATATATGATTTCTCATTTGTATTTCCGTATGGATGGAATAAAAAAGGAATGTTGAAATTTTAGGAAATAAAATATTAACACGAAAGTAATGAAAATTAGTATTGAGGAAATATTAAATATTTAATAATTTTATAATTAATTATTTATATAAACATTTGTTGACCTACTTGCATATAGAGGGAAAGTTTTTTATTTTTCCTTTTGTATTTCAGTATACATGCAAGAAAAAAGGTTAGGAAGACAATTTTGAAGGAAAAATGATATTTAAAATCTTAGAAATTAATTATGAAAGAAAAATGAATGAAAATCTATATTAAGGTAATATTTAAAATTTAATAATTTTATAATTAATTATACAGTTAATTACCAAAATGGTCCCTTGACTATAATAAAATTATCAATTTTGTCATCGACTATATACATAGTGTATATATAAATTGCACGAAATTTATAAAACTAATCAAATGTTAATGTTAAAAATAATAATAAGAATTTTAAAATCAGAATTATAAATTAGGTAGTAGGGTAATAATTAATCTATATATATCATATTATTATTATTGTTATTATTATTATTAGTATTATTATTATTATTATTAATATTATTATTATTATAAAAACAAAATCATCGCATTTCATTTTCCTGCCCAAACTTTTGTAGTAAATCTTATTTGGTAAGTAAATGTCAAATGCAAATTAAATAAAATCTATTAATTGATAATATTGCATAATTTGTAATATTATGTATGGTATTATAATCTATAATATAATTGATAATATTATTGTTCAAGTATAATAGAAACCCTTATGTAATATTGTAATAAAATAAAATTAAAATTGAAATTAAAATAACAACAACAACAACAACAACAACAATAATAATAATAATAATAATAATAATAATAATAATCATCATCATCATCATCATCCAAACAAAACAATATACAAAATAAAATTAAAATTAAAAAAAAATAACAAGAAGACAAAGGTGGCTCCCCTTTGTAAATGATATGGGATCATTTTGATCCCTCATTGAAAATGTCTGGAAAGAGGAGCTCTTGAGCTCCTCTATATACGAGGAGCAATGCTCCTCTTACAAACCTATAATTTTTTGCCCATCAATGTGAGCAAAGTTATACCACCGCATGCGTACATCTAGACATTAGCTATTAATTTGAGCAATTATTGCATAAATTCAAGTAATGCTAACATCAAAATATATAAACGGTCCAAACTATATCTTTAATTGCACTATATAATATTTATTGTTATAATTTATATAATTATATATCGATCCAATTATTTTTAATATATTACAACAAATCTATTCCGTGCAACGCACGGGTGCAAATACTAGTTTTCTCAATAAAAGGGAAAATGTGATGAAATGAATAAGACATAAATATTTGGGTTGAAAATAGCATTTCCGTTTTGGTCCACACTGGAATTATCAACTCAGCCAGGATGTCACCCACCCAAAGTAAACTTGCTGACACATCTCTGCCATTGCTTCCTAAATTTCCTTTCTTTGATTTTTTTTTTTAATACATATTTTTACCCTTTTTTTCCTAAAGAAGTACGGAGTAAAAGATCAGATTATACGGAGTATTAAAGTAAACTTTTAGCTGTGATGTAAACATTCATCTCAATTAATTATACATTAGAAAAGTCACCTCAGAAATTGTGGAAAAATTGAAGGGTAGAAAAGGAGTTAAAAATGACATGATTTCCTTTTCAAGACTATAACATGGTATGGTAAAAAAAAAAAAAAAAATTCTATTGCGCAGATACGTACAAGACATACACATCAATACATCAGCAATACTTGAAGTAAATTGCATGTTGTTTGATTGCCTTTTTTGAGTTTTTTCAATACACAGTTACAGAAAGATGTAATTTTTTAAAAAAAAATTGTCTAGAAACTAGAAAGTTGTCGTTTTTTCAAATAAATATGTTGTTAGCTTGGAGGCAATAAATTTTTCTGATAATGGGTCATCTTCAGATGAAACTAAAAAGTGCCAAGTGCCAACTAAGAGGGTTGCCTTGCACCTCTTGACCATTTCCTGTCTTCCATAACTTCCCTTATACTGTTTCTGAAAACCTTTTTTTTTTTTTTTTTCATCACCTACCACTGATAACTCCACCCTTCCTTACCTTCTAGTAGCATTTCTCGAAACATTTCTAAGCCAGTTGATATCATTAGCATTTTGCAATTTTATGCATCTTTACTCCTCCCTGCAAGAACAGCAGCCCCTTTGTTGTTGGGTCAGCTGTCATTAAGGTGAAGAAGGTGGTGGTGGTGTCAGAACCACTTTTTATGCACCTCTGCTCAGGCTTTGTGTCAAATCGATCAATGCTGTAAAAACCCACTTTGGGAATTTGATCAAGACTTGATTTTTACCAGTTGGTGTTCCTGTGAGGCAAGATTATTTCATTTATTTGGGTGTTTTGGACATTGGGTTTTGTTAGGCTTGCTTGGTTTGAGATCTGTGATTGAATTGGGCTTCCTTTCATTGTCTGAGCAAGGGATATGGTGGTGGAGTTTCAGAGATCTGAGGTTTAAAGATTGCAGATTGAGTCTTTCTGGAAGGTATGTATATATGCAAATTTAAGATGTGCCGTTTTCTTAGGTGTTTGACCATGATTCTTTGCTTCTTGTTATTTTTGTTTTCACTTTCTTGTCAAGTGAAAACTACTGTTTAGATTTGTGGGATTGGAAATGACTGTAATAATGGATCTTGTTTAGATTTGCTCATTCATTGTTGCTAGTGCTGTTTTTGAGTTCTCTAGGTGTCATTATATCTTGGATTATTAACTTTTTTTCTTTACCTCATTTATAAAACCTGTTTATACCCAGATTAGTTGGATGAGAAGAGAATTAGTATAGTAGTGTTTGATCTTTGTTTTGGTGTTATGCAACCTTATATTTAAGGAACTTTTGACCAAATAGAACCACCAATTTCAGTGTGTTTCCTTAAATTTTATAATGTTCCTTGCTCTAATTTTATAGGTCTTTTGACATCCAAGAAGATGGGTTCTAATCTGAATGAGGGTATGTCCAAAGAAACTGCTGTTTTTGGGCTCAAGGTGTGGGAGCTGATTGGGATTATTGTTGTCTTTTTGATAGTATTCATCCTCTTATCAGTAACTTTTTATCTCACGTTGCGGAAGAAATCAATGCGGGCGAAAGAAAGCCTCCCCCTTTGTCAAATTCCGAAAGTTTCAAAGGAAATTAAGGAGGTTCAGGTGGATCAAGTGTCGAAAAATGAAGATGGGAATTTCCCTACTGTTCAAGATAAATCCACTGAGAAAGAATCTGATGGGGAATGGAAAACAAAGAATGGCGATAATAACGGTCAATCGGATTCGTTTCATCTTGTTGACAAGGAGTATCACGGGTCACATTCACGAGAAGAAAGGAATTCAGCCAAATTTGCGGTTCATCACAAATACTCCTCGCATCCGATAGCTGCTCCATCTCCTCTAACCGGCCTGCCCGAGGTTTCTCACTTGGGTTGGGGTCACTGGTTTACGTTAAGAGATCTTGAACTTGCGACCAACCGGTTTTCAAAGGAGAATGTTCTTGGTGAGGGTGGATATTCTGTTGTTTATCGTGGCCAATTGATCAATGGGGCTGAAGTAGCTATCAAGAAGCTCCTCAACAACCTGTGAGTTAATGTATCGATTCATTTGAATAAATGGCATTCTTGTTGATCTGTTTATTCTTGCATTTGCATATATATGAGCGTAGATATTCTTTGCCTACAGAGGCCAGGCAGAGAAAGAATTTAGAGTGGAAGTCGAAGCCATTGGCCATGTGCGACATAAACACTTAGTTCGCCTTTTGGGATACTGCATTGAAGGAACTCATAGGTATTGCTTTCTTCCCCATACTTGGTTTCGAAATTAGCTCATGACTATTTATTCTCGTGAGTAAAGTTTTAATTTTGTAAAATCTCAATCTAATTTTTGTTTTTTATCTGCACTTACATCCTTATTGGATTACTGATTTGCATAGTTGTAGGGGCTATCTTCCCCCAAAAGGTTGATTCCCCAACCCCTGGCTTGACAGAGCATTTGGGAGGATGTAAATCACGGTAACTCAGTAGCTCAGTAGACAACGTCATGCCGATGCGCACAAGGGATCTGCCCACTTTGGGCATAATCCCCACACTGTTCTAGGGGCTATCTTCCCCCAAAAGGTTGAATCCCCAACCCCCGGCTCTTCCCCCAAAAGGTTGAATCCCCAATCCCCAGCTTGACAGAACATTTGGGAGGATGTAAATCACGGTAACTGTTCAGCAGACAGGGCCATGCCGATGCGCACAAGGGATCTGCTCACTTTAGGCATAGCCCCCACACTGCTGTCGAGTTTCGGACATTGGTCTCTTCTCCCAAATACGACTTACTGAACCAGTGAGCTAAGCCCGTGCAGGCAGTTGTAGGGGCTATCTTTGTCATTATTATTGAGCATATTTAAAACTTTATCGCTCTGAAAATAGAGCTAAGGTAAGGCGTAAGCGTGTGCAGGAGCCACTTGGTTCAGCCTTATTAATATTTACGAACTCATTTCCTTCAGGATTCTGGTCTATGAGTATGTAAACAATGGAAACTTAGAGCAATGGCTTCATGGAGCTATGCAGCAACACGGATATCTTACATGGGAAGCGAGGATGAAGGTTCTCCTTGGCACAGCTAAGGCGTAAGTCCATCCAACTACTTCTGTCTTCAAACTCGAAGGCATAAACTTATACGAAGCTTTAATTTATTGCAGTCTTGCGTACTTGCACGAGAACATCGAGCCAAAGGTGGTTCATCGGGACATCAAATCAAGCAATATTCTAATAGACGACGAGTTCAACGCTAAGGTCTCGGACTTTGGTCTTGCTAAGCTGCTGGGTGCTGGGAAAAGCCACATCTCGACAAGAGTCATGGGTACTTTTGGGTTAGTTTTCCCTTCTCATCCTTTCTACTATCAACTCTCGATCGAGTGTTTTTTACTTGTATGTCTTATATATTTGTCGTGTCCCGGGAATTATAGAGTTCGGTTATGTGCCTTTTGTTAAGCGCAACATATAACATATTCTGTCAAATACTATACAGATATGTGGCTCCTGAATATGCAAATACGGGGCTCTTGAATGAAAAGAGTGACGTTTACAGCTTTGGAGTTGTTCTGTTAGAAGCTATTACCGGAAGAGACCCAGTGGACTACGGCCGTCCTGCTCAAGAGGTATCTAATTAAGCCTTTCCGACTATTGTGTGCAAAAAAGTATTTTACTCATGGTTATCGTCAAAATTCAAAAGGCAAAACTCTTATATTAAATAGCTTTGAATTATATATGTGTTCTAATGATGTGAACATCTCTGGTAATGTTATATTACCTTGTTTGGTTCAAGTTATGAGATTACCAGGTAATGTTATATTACTAGGTAATGTTATATTACCTCAAAGCTGATGTGGCGGTAATGTTTCAAGGTAATGTGATTACCCCCATTTTTTTTAGGTAATCTTAGATTACCTTGAATTATTCCAACTTTGCCCTTGTTAACTAATCCTTATAATAATAATAATAATAATAATAATAATAATAATAATAATAATAATAATAATAATATATGTTTATATAATCAAATATACATATGTGTATATTTATATATTTAGTTTTTTAAATATTTAAGCTTTGATATACATTCATAGATATAAATAAATACACACACATATTATTGTAAATTGATCCATATAACCTAAAATATAACCCTGAACCAAACAATGTAATATTATATTACACCATCCAAACCAAACACACAAGGTAATCTTACATTCCCAAAATCTCACATTACCTCCCAGGAGGTAATCCTATTACCTGGGGTAGATTCCATGAATCAAACACCCCCTAAAAGATTGAATCCAATCAATTAGCTAGTCTATCCCGTGACCTTCTAAATCCATATGTTCTCTCTTATATTTTCAAATATGGACTCTTAACAAGGTTCTTAGCCCCTTTTGGTGCCACATTGTGAATGAGCTCTAGTGAATGATGGCATAGCATTCTGGCTTTTCTATTACTCAAATGTAGAGATTCTAATGACACCAGGTGAATCTCGTTGATTGGCTGAAAATGATGGTTGGAAGCAGGCGCTCCGAGGAAGTTGTTGACCCAAATATCGGTTCAAGGCCATCAACAAGGGCTTTTAAGCGAGCCCTTTTGACTGCTTTGAGATGCGTTGATCCAGATTCTGACAAGAGACCCAAGATGAGCCAAGTCGTTCGTATGCTTGAATCAGAAGAATATCCTATACCAAGAGAGGTGCGTTCCTAATTATTTAACACATGCTAAGAGTGCATTCATTGTGCTAGATCTTTATTACATCTTAAAGTAAAAAACATTTCCACTTATGATTCTTATGATTCTTGGAATAGAAGTTCTTATTGGTTTATGTTGGGCGGAGGCCGGTGAAGGGTCAAGTCCAACAATTGATGGCTAAGGGAATTGTTGGGCGGAGGCTGAAGAAGGCCAATTTTAGCATGTTTTACCACTATTAGCTGTTTAACTTGGTTAAACAACCAATATGAGTGTTTGATTAATTAGTTTTTTTAACAGCTTATTGCTCTAAAATACTAAAATTCAAAAAGCTATTTGAGAAAGTCATTTTGTATGTCATCAGCTATCAGTTAACAACTAATTTAGTAAAGATCTTTCTACAATCAGCTAATGCTATCAGCTAGTCAAACCCACTAACCTAATCAGCTAACAGTTATTTACCAAACACTTCCTATAGCTTTTGGCGTACTGTGGTAAGCGCTTGATCCTAACAATTCATCCACTACAACTTTTGTAGGACCGTAGGCAGCGAAAAATCCAGGCAGGTGCAGCCGAGAGTGAACCCCAGCGAGAGAACTACGAGACTGACAAGAGCGACAACCCAGATTCAACATCGGACAACAAAGGGAATCTTTAAAGCGTGAGAAAAGATGTCCACATTGAAGCATTTTGAGATCACGATCGCCAACCAAGTTCCATTCTGAATGTTTGATCTGCCATCTACACAGCCTAAAGCTGGGGGGAGGACATTGAATTGGTTGAAACCATAAAAAATAGATAGGGTTTTCATATATTCTTCCATTTTGGAAAATTCTTGATTGTATGCAAAAGATAGATAGGAAAATGAATGGTGTATGAAAGTGGTGGCCTTGTGAAGATGATATTTTCAGGAGGGTTGTGTACAGAAAATACTTGCTTTATTAGGTACTCAATATTGTTTGCCTGAGTTGTCTCTCATTTCTTCAATAGTATAAGATAATTTTGTGTCTGTGTGTTTTTAATGCAATATAATGATTATAGACCGTGTGGTCAAGCAGAATAATTGTGGCTTTTCAAATGAGAGGTCATAAATTCGGAATTCAGTGGGGCGCACACCACCATACGGGCGTCTAACAATTGCGCCACTTAAGTGTTTTGACATGGTCAAAAAGCTAAAAGAATTATTTGGTAACCAACAGGTCGGAGCAATGTTTTTGATCCAAATTGAAATCATATACGCTCCTAAAAACATGTTTTAATATGAATGTCCTTGTAGGTCTTTTATATCGCAAATAAATGTTCATTTTTAATATATTAAGATTCATTTTTAATACGGAGTATATTAAAAGCTCATTTTTAAATAATATTCTTAAAAATGAACATTTCGTAAATTAAATATCAAAAGCAATCAATTTTAAGAGATATACAAATTAAATTACTACTCCCTATTTGAACCTCACAATTGACTAGACAATAATTCAATATCAAAACAGATCAATTTTAAAAGGCATAAATCACTATAAAGTATAGAGAATGCATAAATCATGGTAAAATATAAGGTTAAAATGCCCCTTTGTGGAGTAGATAAATTGCAAGATATGTCCCAATAAATAAAGATCGAGAGTTTGCCACATTGTAGGTGTTGACCCACAAGGGATATAAATTCCAAACCATGTTACCATAAGGAATCCAATCTGCACCCTGCAATTGCCAACACGGTTAAAACTTATCTCAATCTGACTTTGCACCAGAAAATGATTACTTCTTTTTATACATTTCTTTTTAGAGTAATGCCAGATGGGTCCTCCGAATATAGTGGCACCACCACGTTTAGTTAATCACCAATGGTTCTTCAACTTTCAAGTTAATCATCCATAGTCTTTCAACTTTCAAATTTTAACCAATCATGGACCTTCTATTAGTTCAAGTAAGACAAAGTTTAGGACCACGACTGGTTGAAATTTAAAAGTTGAAAGATCATGAGTTGTTAACTTAAAGTTGAAGGACTATAGGTAATTAAATTAAAAGTTAATAAATGTGATAGTGACACTATACTCGAAGCACCCATCTAGACTCTTTCTTTTTACAAACTAGAAGTTAACGCACTCTGCTAATTTACCTTCTGTAAATTTGAAACCTTGTACTCCATATCAATCAGCAACACTTCAAATACAAGAAGCCATGCCACTCTTCCTGAATTTCTTTTAATCACATAATACACCCAAATTGATAGTATACACAGCATTAGCAGACAAACATTTGGGGACATCCAAAAAACCGAAATCGATTCAGATGCACAATTCTACTCCCTATTCAAGCACTTTCTCGGATCAAAGTCAGGGTGATGGCTCTTTCTGTTTAGCATGGTTTTCAGGGGTCTTTGCGTGCTGCATTTCATATTGTTGTTTCAGTTCCTTCAAACGCTTGGAGATCTGGATGAAGAGGGAATGCAGAAGAGGGTGGTTAAAACATAAATGAAGTAATCAGCAGCCAACTAACAAGGATTGTTCTTCCTCATAATTATTTGTTGGATCTCAACACTGCATTATGCTTACTTCCCAGACACGCTTAACCACAGAGTTCTTTGGTTATCTGGTTGTTCTATCATTCTTAAAACCAATTGGTGATAAGTAGGTGAATTAAACATTTAACCACATCCCTCCATGGTAAGCCACAACGCCACCATTCAATGGCAAGATGCTGCACTCGGCCCTCCAAGCCGCAGTCCCAACAATATTTTGTAGAGTTCATTTCACTTTGATCCCTCGACTATAGAGACATTTTCATCTACTGTGCTCAACTATCAACTTTTCTACATTATAGTGCTTGGCTTTTGAGAATCTAACAGATTTAGTCCTTCAAGTGGAATCTTTGGTCATCAAACATGTCTCATGAAATAATTATCCAGAAAAGACCGAAGGACATACCAAAGATTCCTCTTTAAGGACTAAATTGGATAGATTTTGAAATGTCAAATACTAAGTGTGAAAAAATTGATAGTCAAGCATTATAGGTAGAAATGCCACTATAAACAATGGACTAAAAGTGAAAATACATTTTAAATTGAGGCTGTATATATATATTAGAATCTTAGTCCCTCAACTATAATGGCATTTCTAGGTTAGGTGATCGACTATCAATTTTTTCATATTTAGTGCATAATTATAAAAAATCTGGTCACATTCTATTGCTTCCATTAAATCTGAATGGACGGGGGCATTTTATCTTTACTAGTCCTCCAATTCCCATAGGAATTAATTATAATTTAGAATAAAAATTAAATTAACAGTCTAGCACCCAATTAAAAAATGCCACTATAGTCGAAGAACCAAAAGTGAAATAAATTCTAAATATTTTCTCTTTTATGTGGTATGTGGATTGAATTTCCCAACATTCCTAATTAATAAATAGAAATTCATGACTCTACGTCCATTTAAACCGTAATGAGGGAAAGACCCTATTGAAAGAGGGATTAACACCTTGAATGAATAGGCCATTGGCAATAGGGTATCTGGGTTCATTGCATCGTCAGGGAAGTTGCGTAAAGCATGTATGAGTTTCTCAAAAGGTAATTTCACCTGTTAACAAGAATTGAAGTCATCTTAAGCTATTAAAATGCAAAGAGAAGAAAAGATAAAATGCAAAAATCTGAAATAATTAAAAACTCACCAGATCATCATGGCAATATTTCAATAAAGCCAATCCAACCTTGAATACAATTTTAACACCCTGGTCAAAGTGAAATTAGTAAGATTTACAGTAATTTCAAAGTAAGGCAAGGTAACCAAAGATGATGATAATCAATCAGCTTACCTCATGGAGAAATACATCCCAAATTCTAAGAGCCAAGTGAAATGGGAAAGAATATGAGAAAACAGTTATGAACCACTGGCTTGCATACATGCTGGGATTGATCATTTCTTGAGAAAAGTGCTCTCCAAGCTTAGGCAACAAATCCTTTACTAAATGATCAAATTGAAAGAGATATTGCTGTACAAGAGGCAGTCCTACCTAGTCCACATGGCGAACAACTTATTACCATTTTTCAAATGTATGAAAACACTCCAGATTAAATGAAGTCAGGCATAGATATGCAATAAGCAATTACAGGAAATAACTACTAAATCCTCTATGGGGAGAAAATGCCAAAATTTTCATGATAACACAGAACATATTAAAAGAGCCTAAGATTGATCAATTGATCAAAGAAAATGTGATTCATGTCTTTTTTTTTTTTTTTTTTTTCAAAGACAGTGAAGTAACCCAACAAAAAGGCCTTACCAAATACATTCCTTCCATTGGTGAGTGTACAGCTCCCTTCAACAAGGCAACCAATAACCAAAATGCATCTTCTTCACTCATGTAAAGAAGCAGGAGGCCCGCCACAAATCCCATGCCCTGCATTAAGATATGGTTCCAATATTATACAGTCCAACAAACTAGATTAATATTCTATTAATCATTATGATATGCACCTGCACATATCCAACATCTCTGTCATATACAGAGTATGCTTTCAGAACATTGTAAAGAGACCTCTGACCAGGTCCATGCCTCTGCTGGAAGAATACATGTGAAGGAAAGGTGCGAGAAATATCTCGAATAATATCTAGCTCAGAAGCTGATGTCTCATATATGACGAGTTGCTGCACCAGACAACATTTACAATGAGTTCAATAATATCCATTACCCTGGTAGCAAAAGACATATATTCAGCAGTTATAATGAATAGATGGAATGATGGATATCCACCACAAAATATGCCTTAAACTTGCAAGAGGTCAAGCTCTCTCCATCTGTACTCTATTGTAGTAATGTAATTCTAAAGGCTGAATATCCTATTAAAGATCATCTAGATCCAATAACATGGTTCAAGCTCAAGAAGCCATGCAAGTTCCTTGCAAGATGGTTGTGAGGCCTAACACTCTAGAGGAAGAAGATTCAAGCCTTGATCATTGTATATTAAGCTGAGAAGAGATGATGCACTCAGGACCTACACCTAACCCATGAGTGGAAGCCCAAGTTCTCAATCTAAAAGTTTAAAAGCAAGTGGAAGATGCTTATTTGGATCAAGCCTAGTTACAAAACCAATTAGAGAGATAATAGGATTAATAGCCATGTGGCCCATGCAAGTTACATCTTAAAGGCCAAGAAGTGTCAGCACTGTTTTATTTGCTTTGGAGCTTATTTTGATGTACTTTAGGTCCCTAGGTTGTGCCAACTTGTAGGCCTAGAAAGTGGAAGAAGTGTCTTTAATTTTCAGCACATTTTTCTTATGTTTTGGGACATATTTGAGTGTATTTTAGGCCTCTAGGTTGTGGCCACTTGTAGGCAAGCCCCTTTTGTGTCCTATCCTAGCTTAACTTATTGGTTTTGAATGCCCTAAAAGCCTACCCTAGCCTTAGTTATCTGAAAGTCCAATTATTGGGTTTAAGTCTTGATTAGTTAGGCCAATTAGAGGGATAGACAACATAAAGCCTAAACCTATATATTTAGCCCTTATTACGTAATTCAAGAGAAGTTTGCCTCTTTAAAAACTAAGATTAAGTGTTGAATATTCTCTATACACATTAGTGTGTGGCTTCTCTTGTTCGACTTGGAATTGGTATTAATCAAGCTACTGTTCAAGATTGGCAGAGACTAGATACAACCTAAGCTCTACAAATTTTGAAGGTAACCCTCTTACATTAGACTAATTTGTAAGACCAGGTTGTTATCTTGTGATTGTTATTTGTTTGAATCACATAATGTAGGTAGGATGAAAATGCATCAGTGAAGCAAAACTATGTACAAAGTAGTTTAAAATTAACTTATAATGTCTACCTCATATACTCCTGGATTCATCAGCAAAAGATCCCGACTTCCAGAAATTAGCTGCCAAACAAGCCCCCTCAAACAATCAGGAATTCCTTTCCGTATTCGCCTTCTAACTACATGAGGTTTTCTCCGAACATAATACTTCCAATCGCTTCCTCCAACACCAATCATCTTCCTCCATTTTCTAATC